TCAGACAAACACAAACATCTGTCTGTCTCGGGTAGTGTGCAGTAGTAGACTGTGTAGACATGTAGAACTGGGGAACATGTCAGACAAACACAAACATCTGTCTGTCTCGGGTAGTGTGCAGTAGTAGACTGTGTAGACATGTAGACCTGGGGCACATGTCAGACAAACACAAACATCTGTCTGTCTCGGGTAGTGTACAGTAGTAGACTGTGTAGACATGTAGAACTGGGGCACATGTCAGACAAACACAAACATTTGTCTGTCTCGAGTAGTGTGCAGTAGTAGACTGTGTAGATGTAGAACTGGGGAACATGTCAGACAAACACAAACATCTGTCTGTCTCGGGTAGTGTGCAGTAGTAGACTGTGTAGACATGTAGAACTGGGGCACATGTCAGACAAACACAAACATCTATCTGTCTCGGGTAGTGTGCAGTAGTAGACTGTGTAGATGTAGAACTGGGGAACATGTCAGGCAAGCACCAACATTTGTCTGTCTCGAGTAGTGTGCAGTAGTAGACTGTGTAGACATGTAGAACTGGGGCACATGTCAGACAAACACAAACATCTGTCTGTCTCGGGTAGTGTGCAGTAGTAGACTGTGTAGACATGTAGAACTGGGGCACATGTCAGACAAACACAAACATTTGTCTGTCTCGAGTAGTGTGCAGTAGTAGACTGTGTAGATGTAGAACTGGGGAACATGTCAGACAAACACAAACATCTGTCTGTCTCGGGTAGTGTGCAGTAGTAGACTGTGTAGACATGTAGAACTGGGGCACATGTCAGACAAACACAAACATCTATCTGTCTCGGGTAGTGTGCAGTAGTAGACTGTGTAGATGTAGAACTGGGGAACATGTCAGGCAAGCACCAACATTTGTCTGTCTCGAGTAGTGTGCAGTAGTAGACTGTGTAGACATGTAGAACTGGGGCACATGTCAGACAAACACAAACATCTGTCTGTCTCGGGTAGTGTGCAGTAGTAGACTGTGTAGACATGTAGAACTGGGGAACATGTCAGACAAACACAAACATCTGTCTGTCTCGGGTAGTGTGCAGTAGTAGACTGTGTAGACATGTAGAACTGGGGCACATGTCAGGCAAGCACCATGATTTGTCTGTCTCGAGTAGTGTGCAGTAGTAGACTGTGTAGATGTAGAACTGGGGCACATGTCAGGCAAGCACCATCATTTGTCTATCTTGAGTAGTGTGCAGTAGTAGACTGTGTAGATGTAGACCTGCGGCACATGTCAGGCAAACACAAACATCTGTCTGTCTCGAGTAGTGTGCAGTAGTAGACTGTGTAGACATGTAGAACTGGGGCACATGTCAGGCAAGCACCATAATTTGTCTATCTCGAGTAGTGTGCAGTAGTAGACTGTGTAGACATGTAGAACTGGGGCACATGTCAGGCAAACACCAACATCTGTCTGACTCGGGTAGTGTGCAGTAGTAGACATGTAGAATTGGGGCACATGTCAGGCAAGCACCATCATTTGTCTGTCTCGAGTAGTGTGCAGTAGTAGACTGTGTAGACATGTAGACCTGCGGCACATGTCAGGCAAGCACCATGATTTGTCTGTCTCGGGTAGTGTGCAGTAGTAGACTGTGTAGATGTAGAACTGGGGCTCATGTCAGGCAAGCACCATCATTTGTCTGTCTCGGGTAGTGTGCAGTAGTAGACATGTAGAATTGGGGCACATGTCAGGCAAGCACCATCATTTGTCTATCTCGGGTAGTGTGCAGTAGTAGACTGTGTAGACATGTAAAACTGGGGCACATGTCAGGCAAACACCAACATCTTTCTGTCTCAAGTAGTGTGCAGTAGTAGACTGTGTAGACATGTAGAACTGGGGCACATGTCAAGTAAGCACCATCATTTGTCTGTCTCGGGTAGTGTGCAGTAGTAGACTGTGTAGACATGTAGACCTGGGGCACATGTCAGGCAAGCACCATCATTTGTCTATCTCGAGTAATGTTCAGTAGTAGACTGTGTAGATGTAGAACTGGGGCACATGTCAGGCAAGCACCATCATTTGTCTATCTCGAGTTGTGTGCAGTAGTAGACTGTGTAGACATGTAGAACTGGGGCACATGTCAGGCAAGCACAATCATTTGTCTATCTCGATTAGTGTGCAGTAGTAGACTGTGTAGACATGTAGAACTGGGGGACATGTCAGGCAAGCACCATGATTTTTCTATCTCGGGTAGTGTGCAGTAGTAGACTGTGTAGACATGTAGAACTGGGGCACATGTCAGGCAAGCACCATGATTTGTCTGTCTAGGGTAGTGTGCAGTTGTAGACTGTGTAGACATGTAGAACTGGGGCACATGTCAGGCAAGCACCATCATTTGTTTGTCTCGAGTAGTGTGCAGTAGTAGACTGTGTAGATGTAGACCTGGGGCACATGTCAGACAAACACAAACATCTGTCTGTCTCGAGTAGTGTGCAGTAGTAGACTGTGTAGACATGTAGACCTGGGGCACATGTCAGGCAAGCACCATCATTTGTCTGTCTCGAGTAGTGTGCAGTAGTAGACTGTGTAGACATGTAGAACTGGGGCACATGTCAGGCAAGCACCATGATTTGTCTGTCTCGAGTAGTGTGCAGTAGTAGACTGTGTAGACATGTAGAACTGGGGCACATGTCAGGCAAGCACCATCATTTGTCTGTCTCGAGTAGTGTGCAGTAGTAGACTGTGTAGACATGTAGACCTGGGGCACATGTCAGGCAAGCACCATGATTTGTCTGTCTCGGATAGTGTGCAGTAGTAGACTGTGTAGATGTAGAACTGGGGCTCATGTCAGGCAAGCACCATCATTTGTCTGTCTCGAGTAGTGTGCAGTAGTAGACTGTGTAGACATGTAGAACTGGGGCACATGTCAGGCAAACACCAACATTTGCCTGTCTCGGGTTGTGTGCAGTAGTAGACTGTGTAGACATGTAGACCTGGGGCACATGTCAGGCAAGCACCATCATTTGTCTGTCTCGGGTAGTGTGCAGTAGTAGACTGTGTAGACATGTAGACCTGGGGCACATGTCAGGCAAGCACCAACATTTGCCTGTCTCGAGTAGTGTGCAGTAGTAGACTGTGTAGACATGTAGACCTTGGGCACATGTCAGGCAAGCACCATCATTTGTCTATCTCGGGTAGTGTGCAGTAGTAGACTGTGTAGACATGTAGACCTGGGGCACATGTCAGGCAAACACCAACATCTGTCTGTCTCGGGTAGTGTGCAGTAGTAGACATGTAGAACTGGGGCACATGTCAGGCAAGCACCATCATTTGTCTATCTCGAGTAGTGTGCAGTAGTAGACTGTGTAGACATGTAAAACTGGGGCACATGTCAGGCAAACACCAACATCTTTCTGTCTCGAGTAGTGTGCAGTAGTAGACTGTGTAGACATGTAGAACTGGGGCACATGTCAAGTAAGCACCATAATTTGTCTGTCTCGAGTAGTGTGCAGTAGTAGACTGCGTAGACATGTAGACCTGGGGCACATGTCAGGCAAGCACCATCATTTGTCTATCTCGAGTAAAGTGCAGTAGTAGACTGTGTAGATGTAGAACTGGGGCACATGTCAGGCAAGCACCATCATTTGTCTATCTCGAGTAGTGTGCAGTAGTAGACTGTGTAGACATGTAGAACTGGGGCACATGTCAGGCAAGCACCATCATTTGTCTATCTCGAGTAATGTGCAGTAGTAGACTGTGTAGATGTACAACTGGGGCACATGTCAGGCAAGCACCATCATTTGTCTATCTCGAGTAGTGTGCAGTAGTAGACTGTGTAGACATGTAAAACTGGGGCACATGTCAGGCAAACACCAACATCTTTCTGTCTCGAGTAGTGTGCAGTAGTAGACTGTGTAGACATGTAGAACTGGGGCACATGTCAAGTAAGCACCATAATTTGTCTGTCTCGAGTAGTGTGCAGTAGTAGACTGCGTAGACATGTAGACCTGGGGCACATGTCAGGCAAGCACCATCATTTGTCTATCTCGAGTAAAGTGCAGTAGTAGACTGTGTAGACATGTAGAACTGGGGCACATGTCAGGCAAGCACCATGATTTGTCTGTCTCGAGTAGTGTGCAGTTGTAGACTGTGTAGATGTAGACCTGGGGCACATGTCAGGCAAACACAAACATCTGTCTGTCTCGAGTAGTGTGCAGTAGTAGACTGTGTAGACATGTAGAACTGGGGCACATGTCAGGCAAGCACCATGATTTGTCTATCTCGAGTAGTGTGCAGTAGTAGACTGTGTAGACATGTAGAACTGGGGCACATGTCAGGCAAGCACCATCATTTGTCTATCTCGAGTAGTGTGCAGTAGTAGACTGTGTAGACATGTACAACTGGGGCACTTGTCAGGCAAGCACCATGATTTGTCTATCTCGGGTAGTGTGCAGTAGTAGACTGTGTAGACATGTAGACCTGGGGCACATGTCAGGCAAGCGCCATCATTTGTCTATCTCGGGTAGTGTGCAGTAGTAGACTGTGTAGACATGTAGAACTGGGGCACATGTCAGGCAAGCACCATCATTTGTCTATCTCGAGTAGTGTGCAGTAGTAGACTTTGTAGACATGTAGAACTGGGGCACATGTCAGGCAAACACCAACATCTGTCTGTCTCGGGTAGTATGCAGTAGTCCATACACTGCGCACATTTCTTTCCAAACAATACTTTGAAGTGCCATCGGATCAAAATGATATGTAAGATTATTTTTACCAGTAATGTTCCAGTTCTTAGTCTCCACAGTGAATCTGACACTACAGATTGTATCAATTCAACAACCGGAAAGTGACCCCATAGTCATCACAGCTGTGCAGTGACGGACATTGTGAAGCAAGTGATTGCAGTGATTTCTTGAAATTGATGATAACAGTGAATAAGAACTATTAGTAAGAGGGATCCCAAATAGCTTCTGATAATACATTAAAAAGACTGGTTTTGATTATTATTATGTGGATGTAAAACAGAACATGTGTGTTTCAGCCCCTACATCTGTGGTGAGATTCTTGTTTCAACTGACACTGGCAGTGTTCACCTCTCTGTTCCTGGGTACAGGTAAAATGCCTATGTTCAAAATACTTCACTTTCACTTAGAGTATGGCTACTGGCTCTCGAACATTGTGTTTATGATCTCAGCAAAGATGAAAAAACAAGAAATGAAAATGTTATTTCTGCCCATGACTCTTTCTGACATTAGACAGAAGTATGACAGTAATTGTGTGGCATACAAAGTAACACATTACATTTTCCTTTTATTCTTTTCGCTTGAAAGCTTTAAATTCTCATACAAAATCACTTTATGCCATAACTGCTTAGTTTATTCTGGAATCAGCTGTGTATTGCTCAACAAATCCCAGGTGGCACACATGCACAGTTTATAGGACTTTATTTAGTTATATTGAGATTTTTGTGAAGCTGTAGTAATTCAGTTGTTTGTTGGTAAACGGCAACACAAGGACTACAGCTGACTGCTGATGCTGGGTACCAACAGGCCAATGTGTGGGGTTTTAGTTTGCAGACCCTAGTATCCAAGCAACTCCTCCGATTCCAATCCACAGACCAATGGCGCCAGTGCCACTGGGGGGCACATCCACGCCAAGTCATATTAGCAGACCGAACTAGTGTGCAGCTCTTTGACAGCAGGGTAAGGAACCAAAAGGTTTTGTAACTTACTGGGACATTGTGAAATGAAGCCACACAGGTAGTACATCTATCACACTTGATGAATGAACGTAGACATGATGGAGTGATTCTATGCATGTATATCCAACTTCTTAATGGTACTCAAGAATTAAGTAAGGCAATATTACCAACTTCTCAAAGCCACCCAAAGATAAAATGAGTCAGTGCTACAAGTTCATAGGCAGCTAGTTCCTCCATGAAGAATGTGTGTGTTACAGACCCAGTACAGTGAGGGGCTTGACCTGCTAGCTCAGCCCACCAAGCTGCTACATCAACAGGAAAGAATCATGGTAACCCAGCCCCACCCACACTGTCCATACTACCACTTCATAGCAACAGACTTCTCTCTTCTGATGATGGACCAGCGTCTCCCCAACTACCCTGTAAGTATGTTTCCAGTGTCTCCACATGTATGTGCGGGAGATATCAGCTGGCGTCAACTGATATATATATACCCACCATTGTAGGTAGTCATCTCCTTCACGTGTTAACACTTTGGCCATGACATTCATACTGAATTTGAACCACAGGCCTATGTCCACATACTGCCCGCTAAAACTGCAAATAATATGACCAGGTACAAGGTACACATACCAGTTTGTACAAGAGAAATACCATCTGTCGTTCATCTGTTACTGATCACTGAAAGATATTCATGTTCTTTGGAAGGAACCACCCTGCCTTTGAACAAGTTCAGTGTGCGAACACTTTTTGAATGAATGTACACTCATAAAACAGGGTTCAACGTTCACTTTTTGACTTACTTGTTGATAGTGAAGTAAATATTTTTAATCAGTAGCCAAAATGAAATGCAAGTGGCCATGCAACTTACTTATTACAATCGTGATAATTAAAAGATAATGTTTATTTGAAGTCGTTTGTTATTTATTATAATTGATAACAGTAAAAGACGTCAAATTTGAACACAATGTTGCAATTGTAACAATGTTAAATGTTTGAGCATTTATATAGTAGCTGGCTCTCAAATGGATGTTTGTTTTGAGTACTGTCAAACATGATATGATGACATGATCATGGATAGTCACTTTAAAAAGATACTTTACTTCAATCTCAACTTTGTACACAGTGCTGAATGCCTGATGAGTAGATATGAATAATCAATTTCAACCTGAGGTTAACCTGAAACAAAGTCTTGAAATATTGAAAAAATAAAAAAGTCAGTGAAATTGGCTTTATTTAACTTTGCACTGATTCATGTCAATTGAAAGTTCCCAGAGACTCTTGGGTGATAGATGAAGGCTCAAGCCAACATTTATCAAGGAAAATATCTGCTTGTAAAACATCTTTGCTACTACATGTTATACACCATTTAAAAGGTCTTATCCTACTGTTCAAACATATGAAAGGTATGTTTATTACATTATTTAAATAATGCATTTACAATTTAATCAAGTTCGTTGTAAATGAAAACAAATGTAAGCTTACACATTCATAACGTCCAGATTATGGACCAAGGAAGAGAAAATTTGACGATTTGCGACAAATATAAGATTTCATAAAATACACTTACCTATTTCTTTTGTATTTTCATTGTTTAGATAAAAAAAATTAAAAAGAAATTAAAAAAGTATCTGTCTTCACCCGTTTCCTGACAACAGCGGCTGTCCGCTAGGTAACATGAAATAATACCTCGATTTAAGCTCCTCAAGAATAACACGAACCTCGAAGACCTCGAAGTGACACACCATTAGAAGGCTTATTGTTACATCTACATGACAGTAACCTCACCCGGAGTATTTTCGTTGCTGTAACATACAAATATATGGGATAAAAATTGGTTTCTAATGACGCTTTCTTAACGAAATCTAATACAAGGTTCGTAATTCGTCAAATTTGAGCATGTGACCTAAGGCAGCCATTCAAAAAACAGCAATGGTACTGCCCTTGTGTATGAGAAAGATTTTTGTTAAATCGTGTTATTCTGAATGTTTTAAGCATGAAATCGCGATCTATATTAAAAATATGGAACTTCATAGATGTCTCATGCTAGGTTACGAGCTGTGACAAAAAAAATTTTCAGGCATATATTTTGGCATAAACATTGTGTCCGAGCCAAGAATTCGAGGCTAAGAAAGGTGAGATGTTGTTTGACTTACATTACACGCGATCGCTTGAAAAGATGAAAATAATAACTTAGATGTAAGTTTGACAACTTTTAGATATATTTTTGTTGGTTTTATGAATAACTTGTATAGTATATTTAAATATTTGCTTGAAACATATTTATTTTGCTCTTTGACATGTCCGATGTGAAGTGTGTGTCCAAAATTTTTATTTTCAATAACATTGCAGGAAATAGTGAATATTTTTTAAATTTTGCGATAGAAAAGGATAAATTGAAATGGAATATGTATTTCCTACATTGTGAAATGCTAGAGATTTAATAAATGAATGATATGACTGGTAGGTTCATAAAATTATATACTGTTTTAACATGATTACGGCTAAGTCAGTCTACTGGCCTGCAGTGTCTGGGGGACTCGAGGCTTCTTGGCCAGTGGGTGTACCGGCCTACGGTGTTGAAAGAGTTAAATTCATGATTTTTCCGTACTCGCCACGAGACAAGTGTTTTAAAATAATTTTTTGCATTTCTCAAACTTCACTCGCAAATGCGACTAAAATCACTCGCAACTTCAAGCCCTGTTAAAATACATTCTTACTATCCTGCTATGACAGTGTGTAGTTTAACTCCCCACGATCTGTTGTAGGGGGCAGTCCAGACAGCTTCTCAATAGGTAGTGCAGTGTGGGGCAGTTTGCACTGTTCCACACCAGGTGGCTTCACCCCAAACAATGTTTGATGCCTTACCGTTGTCACTTTGTGATCTTCAGTTGTCTGTCTGGCATCCCTAATTGCCAACAACTTCTTCAAGACCGTCTTCATCGGGGCAGTTACAACGACTACACCAGTTGACTCTACATCACCATGTGTTTCTGTTTCTATGGCATCATCAGCAGTTCCATGACTCTCACAGGAGAGGCATTGTTCCAGTTTCTTTTTGCAGTTGTTCTCCTGCTGGTCTGTTTAACGTATAGGGTCGGTTAGCTGTGATGTTTCAGCCTGCTGTGGTGCTTGTGTCTGCTACTGTGGTGTTTGTAGCTGCTGTGGCTAGTCTGCTGTGGCACTTGTGTCTGCTACTGTAGTGTTTGTAGCTGTTGTGGCTAGTCTGTCTGCTGTGGGGCTTGTGTCTGCTACTGTAGTGTTTGTAGCTGCTGTGGCTATTCTGCTGTGGCGCTTGTGTCTGCTACTGTAGTGTTTGTAGCTGTTGTGGCTAGTCTGTCTGCTGTGGTGCATGTGTCTGCTACTGTGGTGTTTTAAGCTGTTGTGGCTAGTCTGTCTGCTGTGGCGCTTGTGTCAGCTACTGTGGTGTTTGTAGCTGTTGTGGCTAGTCTGCTGTGGTGCTTGTGTCTGCTACTGTAGTGTTTGTAGCTGTTGTGGTTAGTCTGTCTGCTGTGGCGCTTGTGTCTGCTACTGTAGTGTTTGTAGCTGTTGTGGTTAGTCTGTCTGCTGTGGCACTTGTGTCTGCTACTGTAGTGTTTGTAGCTGTTGTGGTTAGTCTGTCTGCTGTGGCGCTTGTGTCTGCTACTGTAGTGTTTGTAGCTGTTGTGGCTAGTCTGCTGTGGTGCTTGTGTCTGCTACTGTAGTGTTTGTAGCTGTTGTGGCTAGTCTGTCTTCTGTGGCACTTGTGACTGCTACTGTAGTGTTTATAGCTGTTGTGGCTAGTCTGTCTGCTGTGGTGCTTGTGTCTGCTACTGTAGTGTTTGTAGCTGTTGTGGCTAGTCTGCTGTGGCGCTTGTGTCTGCTACTGTGGTGTTTGTAGCTGTTGTGGTTAGTCTGTCTGCTGTGGTGCTTGTGTCTGCTACTGTAGTGTTTATAGCTGTTGTGGCTAGTCTGTCTGCTGTGGTGCTTGTGTCTGCTACTGTAGTGTTTGTAGCTGTTGTGGCTAGTCTGTCTGCTGTGGTGCTTGTGTCTGCTACTGTGGTGTTTGTAGCTGTCATGGCTAGTCTGCTTTGGCGCTTGTGGCACTTGTGTCTGCTTGTGTAGTGTTTGTAGCTGTTGTGGCTAGTCTGTCTGCTGTGGTGATTGTGTCTGCTACTGTAGTGTTTATAGCTGTTGTGGCTAGTCTGTCTGCTGTGGTGCTTGTGTCTGCTACTGTGGTGTTTGTAGCTGTCATGTCTAGTCTGGTTTGGCGCTTGTGGCACTTGTGTCTGCTTGTGTAGTGTTTGTAGCTGTTGTGGCTAGTCTGTCTGCTTTGGTGCTTGTGTCTGCTACTGTAGTGTTTGTAGCTGTTGTGGCTAGTCTGTCTGCTGTAGTGCTTGTGTCTGCTACTGTAGTGTTTGTAGCTGTTGTAGCTAGTCTGCTGTGGCGCTTGTGTCTGCTACTGTAGTGTTTGTAGCTGTTGTGGCTAGTCTGTCTGCTGTGGTGCTTGTGTCTGCTACTGTAGTGTTTGTAGCTGTCGTGGCTAGTCTGCTGTGGCGCTTGTGTCTGCTACTGTAGTGTTTGTAGCTGTTGTGGCTAGTCTGTCTGCTGTGGTGCTTGTGTCTGCTACTGTGGTGTTTTAAGCTGTTGTGGCTAGTCTGCTGTGGCGCTTGTGTCTGCTACTGTAGTGTTTGTAGCTGTCGTGGCTAGTCGTCTGTGGTGCTTGAGTCTGCTACTGTAGTGTTTGTAGCTGTTGTGGCTAGTCTGTCTGCTGTGGTGCTTGTGTCTGCTACTGTAGTGTTTGTAGCTGTTGTGGTTAGTCTGTCTGCTGTGGTGCTTGTGTCTGCTACTGTGGTGTTTGTAGCTGTTGTGGCTAGTCTGTCTCCTGTGGCACTTATGTCTGCTACTGTAGTGTTTGTAGCTGCCATTGCTTATCATGGATGTGGAGCATTTCCCGTTGCTGCCTCCTGTCTTGTCATCAGTTTCTGTGCTTAGTCAGACACAACACAAGCTTCCTGGAGAACAAGATCAAACTATCCTTTGTGTGCTATGGTCTTGGAATTGCCTGCCATCTTGAACATCTCCATGTGAAGCTGCAGGTTGATCCAACCTTTGACGTATGAAGCCAAATCAGTGTGAGCTGTATGAAATAGGACTTGTACTGTTTTCAAGGGAAAAGTTGTATACTTGCAGCCAATCAAAAATCATTTGGAAATCAAGTGATCTATTCACATTGATTTGTAAACAAACATTGTGACTTTGACATGTGTCAATAACGGTTTGTCAGTATCCAATGCGTCAACATTTTTCAATATCTTTTAAATATCACATTAGATGTCTGTAAATATTATGATTATACCATGGCCGTAGGGTGGCCAAAGGCTAGATAGTTGACAGTGAATAAGACTTATGTTGAGATCTGAAGATTTTATAGTGTGATGCAAGCCGAAGACAGGATTTTGGGCAATGATGAAAGAGAGGTGATATGATGTGACGTCAGTAAGGTTTAGGAAAGTAAAAGAACTGTTTCTCAGGTAATGGCTTTGGGAAATTTCTGGCAGGTGGGCGGGCAGCGGTTTTTTTTCGTTTTTTTTGTTCGAACTAGACAGAGTCCAAATAGACAGTTGTGCAAATCAACCTTGGAAAGGGCCTCCCTACATAAAAGTATTCCTTGATGAGTAAAATCCTGTAATACAGAATTTGACTACTGTTGGTCTACCAGTGAGTGCATAATACACGTGTACAATGAGCTTTGATTTTATTTCACAATGCGAAAATGTTATCGTGAGCAACAGAAGAAGCATGTCAACAAATCCCGTACTGAAGTATGCAAGTTCATTATAAAAGTGTTCATTGTGTATATGGACTTTTGTCATCAATTATATTACTATTCTTGAAGATTTTATTCAATTTTGGTTGCATTAAATTCTGCACATTAAAATTACAATACAATAAAATCATGTATGATCTGATCATAAATCACATCAATTTACCATAGGCTCGCCTTGAAACGAACCTTAGTCGTTGGCGATACAAAGTCTTCGGTCTTGCTATCGATTCCAATGGAATTTCTTGTCAATTATGGTATTGGCCATGACATTAAGTATTTTTTACCTAAATCCCATAGATTGAGGAGGAAATCTGTAAACAGCTGGCTGCTATTTCCAGCTTATTTTATGAGACACATACACATGTAATCTTAACCTCTGCGTATGAAACATTGTCCCGCATACAGTACACAAATACCATTAAATTTGTACATCATCATGTCTAATGATGTTTTATCGTAAATTTCATGTTTTCAATGACCAAATTTGAAAACAACAAAACAGGCACACAAACTCCTATTGCTGCCAAGACCATAACATACGAGATGCGCAGTAAAACAGTGCACATGAAAAGGGAAGTAACTGCACGCTGTATTGGATCGTATTGTTTTTAAGTGTTGTAGCATTTCACTGCTAGGGTGGTATGTACGAGACGTGGAATGTTAAAGGGGCACTGATCTAACGCAATTCCCCGGGACTGGTTGTTGCCTTTGTTATTGTTTTTTCCCAGTGAGTACCCGGATGTATAGCAGAAATCTAGACTAGTTCGCGACCTCTGCTGCGCCATTCGTAAGCGCATTAGTCACTTTTATGGAAACCGGTAGTAATAAGGGCGTATGGTCACATTGATCAACAAAATGAAATACAGTTTTCGAGATAATAAGGAAATGTAGGTATCTTTGTGGGTAGCATCGGTAATTGTGACGAAGTTTTGATAAGACACTTGCTTGGTAATTTTGCGATTTTCGTTTACACTATTTTGACTTGCAACACAAAGTAAATATTTCACCTGAGCATTGCTTTTTTTTATAGTGTGTATATTTTTTTACTGCCAAAATGTGTAACATATTTATTAAACGTATAAATATTCAGTTATTTTACAAAGTGACTGAAAAACATTTCCATCTGTATTATTATGATAACGAATTCCAAACATTTTTATGTTTAATGTCATCACCAAGAGACTGAAAATATTACGTTGAAAAGTAAATTTCTATGTTGTTTGGCTTCTAATCCCACATAATAATCTGTTGTGATGTTTGTAGGCCCTTTTGATCGTCTTAATCAATCTGGACAGATTTTTTAGTCAAAATGACTGAAATATTTACACATTTTATAAATTGCCTGAGAGAATCACATTTTAAAAATTGACGGTAATATATACACGCTTACAAAGGAAAAGACCTGTGAAACAACGTCTATCGCGCATTGAAGAATTTCCAACCAAGACGTAGAGAAACAAGAACGAATCGGTTCAAATGAAGGAAAACAAAATGTAAATACCATAATTACAACCTACCAAATTTATGTGTATAAATTTTAGGCAGGCAGCTTCCTTGTTCGAGGAATGTATCTTGAATATCCACACAAAGGAACAATATCCAACTCGTCTGAAGCTATACAAAGAAACTTATTCGATGTCACGTGTCTCTGTAACAGTCAAATATTCTAAAAGATATATATCGTTTCGGGATATTATAACCCGTGTTCGTTTCTCAACTGATCACTTGGATTGTTTCAGGTGTTTCACATAGGTGTCAAGCCTCAAGGGTCGGCTGAGAAAGCCCACGTGACAACTATTTTCATAACGTCCACCGTTCCTAAAAAATCCATTGAGTGATAGATAACAATGATCAATCAATCAACGTATTATCAGTTAACCCTTTGAACAAAGTATGTTGTTTTTACATCGGCACTTCACGCCATGATATGAGTGTATTCCCTTTGTTTTAGTAAACCTAGACATGTAAACACTCACTTTTGACATATCCACTGTGCAAGATAACAGTGATTAATCAATCAACGTATTTTCTGTTAATCCTTTGATGACTAGGAACGATCCGTTGATTTACAAAAAAAGTAAATCAACTGATCATTCATCTCTTGCTGGGCTGCCACGTGCATATTACATAACACACATTTCACCTCACTTCAAACCTGGATTTAGATTGAATAATTACCCCAGACACAATAAATGCCAAATGGGAACCTTTGTCAGGTAATCTATGTGGTGCTACCATTAATTGTACCTGTAATAAATTCATTAACTGAGCATCAAGTGAATGACGACAAATACACAAGTGTAGGGTTATACGAGAAAACGTGGATGACAACAAGGGAGTAGAAATCGTATTATCGACGCAATCAGAAATCCGAAAATGCTTTCACTGCATGAATACTTTTTTAGTATTAAACTATAACCATCTGGGGTATTTCCAAATGATGACATCCGATGAGCTCCGCCGTTCTTTTTGTCTGTTTGTTTAGGCTGAAGAAATTAATTAACATGCGCCCTTTGTCGAAATCTTTATAGATCACAGTTAACCAATCAGTGTTTATGCAAAAATGCGTAAAACAAATATTGCCTCCAGCCTCCAAGTTTATTCAGCCTCCAAGTTTATTTAGCTGTCCTTGCAGACGGTAGCCCAGTCTCTGGTCACGCTCAGTTGCGTTGCGTATCATCCGGGTACTCACAGGGGAAAAAACAATAACAAAGGCAACAACCAGTCCGGGGAATTGCGTTAGATCAGTGCCCCTTTAAAGGATTTTTTTTTAAATTGAAATAAAAACAAAACATGCGGTGGCCTTTGTGATGATGATGCAGCAGTGCCTGAGAACCAAGACTCTTTTTTTTCAACCCTAAAGGAGGACATTCAATGTATCCTTGTGGTTTTTTTTTGTTCTTCCTTAATCATCTTAGCCCTATTGAAGCCAATTTCAGGTGTCCTCGCTGTGATATCGCTGGAATATTGCTTAAAGCATCGTCAAACCATTTTCACTCACTCACTCATCTTAGCCATTGTGCATCTTTTCAGTGTCCAAAGAGTCAGTCTTATGTTTCATTATTTTTTGTGATAACTTTACACAATCTTACAAATAATATCTTATATATTTTTTATCTTATCTGGCATTACTACCTTAATGCTTTTACTGCTGTTTCTGACTAGGAAGATGGAGCTGTGTGCAGAAGTTGTTGTCCCAACCAGTTGTGTGGCATATGCTCTCCCACAGCTACCAAGTGGTGAAGTCACGTATAATCACATTACTGCAAGTCATCGGTCTGTTCAGACGTTTGAGAATAAAGCTCCCCAGTTTTTAACAACCAGATAGCATCCTTGGCTTGTCCTTCACTTGTCCTTTGATAACCAATATATCTGAATTGTATATATTATTGTTGGGTGTAATAGGGTGGTTCTTTCATTTTTACTTTAACGTAATTTACACATGATTGTGTTCCATCTGTCATCTTGTTTTTGCTATGTTGTCATGCTTGCATGTCTTGATATTTCAATATGCTTATCTAAGGTCTTGTTCATGTGCTATTTATGTTCCTATTCTGGGCCTTCTAAGTGTATGATTATACTCTTTATATCCTAATTTTCTCTCATAAACTTTCTAAAGGTGTGAGTTATGATTACAGGCCCGTCTCTCTTTGTTGACATAAGTGTCTTCTGTTTGCAACCTTTGTCTTTTTTATTGAAATAATATCCTGCGTTGCTCACACTGTCATAAATCAGCCAGGGATCCCCACCTCTTGTGCGCCTATTGCACGGTGCGATCTTTGCCACTCTGTCTCCCCTTGTGACTTGAATACCTCAGGATCTTGAGAAAACGACACAGGGACACGTCTCGGACGACGGAGATTGCCGATCACGTCAACCATGTCTTCACACAATCTTCACTATTGGAGCAGTGCCTCTCATCCCAACCGTCATCGCCACAGCGTTCACGCCAACCATGTCTGCACCCTTGATCATCTTTTTGTCATCAGCGCCGGCACGCCCACCATATTTGGATTCTGTTTGGGTTCAATGGATACAATCCATGTTTCCATCTTCTGTGGCTCAGGCATCTCCTATTGCGCCTTCAGCACCCCAGTCTACACTGTTCACATACTGGCGCCTCTGGCCACCGCGGCACCCTCTGCTACTCTGGCGCCAGCTACGCCTTCGAGGTTTCAACCATTGATCAGTATACTGCCGGCTCCCGCGCCTGTGCTAGTGGCACCTCTTGTGCATCATATCAATATGTCTCTGTTGCCACTAACTACGACTACCTCACATCTGTCCTTGGCTCCAGACATCGCTCCTGTAGGCACACAGACTCTTCAACAAGCCCAGTTGGTTTGTCCTTTCAGTCGACCACCTTGGGGCTTAACCAAGTTCCGAACTGGATGGCGGACTGGTTGGCCTTTGTTGCTCTCTCCCCTTGCCCGGATGTTGATAAAAAAGGACACAATTTGATCCTCTCCTACATCCATGCGTTGGATGACGATTTCTCCAAGCTGTCTCTCAGTATGGCATTTAAGGCACCTTGTTGTGGATGTGAGCATGTGTAATGGTCTCCTTATGCTCCTCTATGTTGCAGGTGATGGTGTGGCCTCACACACTACCTAGTGCCCCTCAGTATCTAGCAGTGGCCAACACCACCTCCAGCGACTCACTAGTGCTGACAGCCAGTCAGTCCCCACCAGAGACTCACTGCTTCCATGTTAAGTACGGTGACACCAAGCCAGTGCGCTCCCAGTACCAGCCATGGAGGCTGTCTACCATCAGGTCTCCACCACCTCTCTCACATCAACAACTGATTGTGCTCATAAGTTTATTCAGACATTATTTCTGTCTATTATTAACTGATATGAGTAATAAAGTGGATACAATGAAAAGAACACTGACCTTAAATGCTGCTCATATAATGCTATCACTGGTAATAATCAAGTCCTGACAGACAATGTTCATCATCTCAAACATTATTACTCTAGGCCCAGTTCAGACATTGTCATTGATCAGTAGGTAACGTAGGTTTCTTTCGGCATCATTTCAGTGCTGTGATGACAAGAGAGTGTAAGAGAAGCCTGATGGGGCAAGTGATTCAACGAAGACTGGACACCTCACTAGCTGGAGTAGCAGTCAGTCACACTGGAAACAATGTACACATGTACCAGGTAAACTTCAATAAGTACTTTGTGTGTTGGCACTCCATGCTGTCTGGAGTAGTAGATTTTTGGCACATATTTACATAAAAATTAGGCATTGAAATGTACATTAAGTTGAAGACTTTAATTTTGCTATAATTGCTAAGATATTATGACTATGAAACAGATTCATGCCTGTTTTTACAAATATATCTTTCACTCGCCAATCTTAAAATCAGACCTAAGTTCTCGCTACCACTAAACAAAGATCTGAGGACATGACATTACGGGTCACGTCAGAATGACCTTTCACTAACTTTGACTGACCACTGAAATGACTAACAAGAAGTCGACATCAGCCATTTAGAAAGCAACTTTCTCAAGCTTTACGGCACTCGTTTTAACCTGTCAACTTCCATTTCAGCCTATGCTTGAAAAATATGTTGACACAGTCCTCTTGAAAACTGAACAAACGAACATTCTGGAATGTCTTATATATGGTTTAGATTGAATGGCAGTGCTTAGTACTTACTTTGCAATGCCTCCTCCGTTCAAATGTTTATCCCATGGAAGCGAGAGATAGACGATAAGTTTGATGGAATCAGTCGTATGTGTTGTAATTGTCGTTCCAAATACCCCCTGTTAATATTTTCGAGGGTGCATGATTAGAAAACACATTCCGACTGTCACTTTCATGATCAGATAAGCAACGCTTTGATTGGTCGGATGGGATGTCCTCAGATCTTTGTTTAGCGATAGTGAGAACTAAGATCTGATTTTAATAAGATTGTTCACTCGCTGCTTTAATATTCCCACATTATGATTACATAAACAGAGATGAAAAAATCTAATTGATAATTGCTGTGTACAATATATATTGTAAACAGTTGGTCTTGTAAGTAGCATGTGAAGTTTCATCTGCTTTGAAAGTTTTGAGATATGCTTTCTTAAATGCCTTTTTAAATTCAGCTGACCAGCCATGGGGAGGTGTTCTATCAGGTGTACAGCAACACTGGAAACTCCTCAGAAAAAACCTGCAGATCTACCCTCAGCACACATGAGGTCAGTGCAGTAGTCAAGAAGGTCACTCGGAAGTGGCTTGCGGGTTTGCAAGACCAGCTGGACAGTGTGACAACCCAAGAGGAGCAGTACTATACCTCTGACGTCTCCCATTATCTCCTCAGTAAGTTGATAAGTGTGGCAACCCCATAGGAACAGTACTATCCCTCTGACGTCTCCCATTATCTCCTCAGTAAGTTGATAAGTGTGACAACCCCACAGGAGCAGTACTATACCTCTAACGTCTCCCATTATCTCCTCAGTAAGTTGATAAGTGTGACAACCCCTGAGAAACAGTACTATACCTCTGACGTCTCCCATTATCTCCTCAGTAAGTTGATAAGTGTGACAACCCCTGAGGAACAGTACTGTACCTCTGACGTCTCCCATTATCTCCTCAGTAAGTTGATAAGTGTGGCAAACTCGAGGAACAGCACTATACCTCTGACGTCTCCCATTATCTCCTCAGTAAGTTAATAAGTGTGACAACCCCAGAGGAGCAGTACTGTGCCTCTGACGTCTCCCATTATCTCCTCAGTAAGTTGATAAGTGTGACAACCCCTGAGGAACAGTACTATACCTCTGACATCTCCCATTATCTCCTCAGTAAGTTGATAAGTAGGACAACCCCAGAAGAACAGTACTATACCTCTGACATCTCCCATTATCTCCTCAGTAAGTTGATAAGTGTGACAACCCCTGAGGAACAGTACTATACCTCTGACATCTCCCATTATCTCCTCAGTAAGTTGATAAGTGTGACAACCCCAGAAGAACAGTACTATACCTCTGACGTCTCCCATTATCTCCTCAGTAACTTGATAAGTGTGGCAAACTCGAGGAACAGCACTATACCTCTGACGTCTCCCATTATCTCCTCAGTAAGTTGGGGGCACGGGTGGCCCAGTCGCCTAAGGCGCCGCGATTCGCTGTGCAGAGTTGCGTCCCTTGGGCACGCCAGAAACCTATGATTGTTGGTTCGAATCCCGGTTCGCCCCGATTATGTTTCTAGGTTTGTCAGCACCATACCCGTGCTCGTGGGTTTCACCGAAGTGGTAAACGTCTAAGACCTGCATCACTTCGGGCTTTCCTCCCACATTAAGCTGACACGCCGTGATATGACTGGAATACTGTTAAAAGCGGCGTTAAACCCAACTCACTCACTCACTCAGTAAGTTGATAAGTGTGGGAACCCCAGAGGAGCAGTACTTTACCTCTGACGTCTCCCATTATCTCCTCAGTAAGTTGATAAGTGTGACAACCCCAGAGGAGCAGTACTGTACCTCTGACGTCTCCCATTATTTCCTCAGTAAGTTGATAAGTGTGGCAATCCCTGAGGAGCAGTACTGTACCTCTGACATCTCCCATTATCTCCTCAGTAAGTTAATAAGTGTAGCAAACTTGAGGAACAGCACTATACCTCTGACGTCTCCCATTATCTCCTCAGTAAGTTGATAAGTGTGACAACCCCAGAGTAGCAGTACCATACCTCTGACATGTCCCATTATCTCCTTAGTAAGTTAATAAGTGTGACAACCCCTGAGGAACAGTACTATACCTCTGACGTCTCCCATTATCTCCTCAGTAAGTTGATAAGTGTGGGAACCCCCGAGGAACAGTACTATACCTCTCCCATTATCTCCTCAGCAAGTTGATAAGTGTGGGAGTCCTAGAGGAACAGTACTATACCTCTGACGTCTCCCATTATCTCCTCAGTAAGTTGATAAGTGTGACAACCCCAGAGTAGCAGTACCATACCTCTGACATGTCCCATTATCTCCTTAGTAAGTTAATAAGTGTGACAACCCCTTAGGAACAGTACTATACCTCTGACGTCTCCCATTATCTCCTCAGTAAGTTAATAAGTGTGGGAACCCCCGAGGAACAGTACTATACCTCTGACATCTCCCATTATCTCCTCAGTAAGTTGATAAGTGTGGGAGTCCTAGAGGAACAGTACTATACCTCTAACGTCTCCCATTATCTCCTCAGTAAGTTGATAAGTGTAGCAACCCCCGAGGAACAGTACTATACCTCTGACATCTCCCATTATCTCCTCAGTAAGTTGATAAGTGTGACAACCCCAGAGGAGCAGTTCTACACCTCTGACGTCTCCCATTATCTCTTCAGTAAGTTAATAAGTGTGGGAACCCCCGAGGAACAGTACTATACCTCTGATGTCTCCCATTATCTCCTCAGTAAGTTGATAGGTGTGACAACCCCAGAGGAGCAGTACCATACCTCTGACGTCTCCCATTATCTCCTCAGTAAGTTGATAAGTGTGGCAATCTCAGAGGAGCAGTACTATACCTCTGACGTCTCCCATTATCTCCTCAGTAACTTGATAATTGTGGCAAACTCTAGGAGCAGTACTTTACCTCTGATGTCTCCCATTATCTCCTCAGTAAGTTGATAAGTGTTGGAACCCCAGAGGAACAGTACTATACCTCTGATGTCTCCCATTATCTCCTCAGTAAGTTGATAAGTGTGGCAACCCCAGAGGAGCAGTACTATACCTCTGATGTCTCCCATTATCTCCTCAGTAAGTTGATAAGTGTGACATCCCCTGAGGAACAGTACTTTACCTCTGATGTCACCCATTATCTCCTCAGTAAGTTGATAAGTGTGGGAACCCTAGAAGAACAGTACTATACCTCTGACGTCTCCCATTATCTCCTCAGTAACTTGATAAGTGTGTCAACCCAGAGGAGCAGTACCATACCTCTGATGTCTCCCATTATCTCCTTAGTAAGTTGATAAGTGTGGGAATCCTGGAAGAACAGTACTATACCTCATATGTCTCCCATTATCTCCTCAGTAAGTTGATAAGTGTGGCAACCTCAGAGGAGCAGTACTATTCCTCTGACGTCTCCCATTATCTCCTCAGTAACTTGATAATTGTGGCAAACTCTAGGAGCAGTACTTTACCTGTGACATCTTCCATTATCTCCTCAGTAAGTTGATAAGTGTGGGAACCCCAGAGGAACAGCACTATACCTCTGATGTCTCCCATTATCTCCTCAGTAAGTTGATAAGTGTGTCAACTCAGAGGAGCAGTACCATACCTCTGATGTCTTCCATTATCTCCTTAGTAAGTTGATAAGTGTGGGAATCCTGGAAGAACAGTACTATACCTCATATGTCTCCCATTATCTCCTCAGTAAGTTGATAAGTGTGGCAACCTCAGAGGAGCAGTACTATACCTCTGACGTCTCCCATTATCTCCTCAGTAAGTTGATAAGTGTGGGAGTCCTAGAGGAACAGTACTATACCTCTAACGTCTCCCATTATCTCCTCAGTAAGTTGATAAGTGTAGCAACCCCCGAGGAACAGTACTATACCTCTGACATCTCCCATTATCTCCTCAGTAAGTTGATAAGTGTGACAACCCCAGAGGAGCAGTTCTACACCTCTGACGTCTCCCATTATCTCTTCAGTAAGTTAATAAGTGTGGGAACCCCCGAGGAACAGTACTATACCTCTGATGTCTCCCATTATCTCCTCAGTAAGTTGATAGGTGTGACAACCCCAGAGGAGCAGTACCATACCTCTGACGTCTCCCATTATCTCCTCAGTAAGTTGATAAGTGTGGCAATCTCAGAGGAGCAGTACTATACCTCTGACGTCTCCCATTATCTCCTCAGTAACTTGATAATTGTGGCAAACTCTAGGAGCAGTACTTTACCTCTGATGTCTCCCATTATCTCCTCAGTAAGTTGATAAGTGTTGGAACCCCAGAGGAACAGTACTATACCTCTGATGTCTCCCATTATCTCCTCAGTAAGTTGATAAGTGTGGCAACCCCAGAGGAGCAGTACTATACCTCTGATGTCTCCCATTATCTCCTCAGTAAGTTGATAAGTGTGACATCCCCTGAGGAACAGTACTTTACCTCTGATGTCACCCATTATCTCCTCAGTAAGTTGATAAGTGTGGGAACCCTAGAAGAACAGTACTATACCTCTGACGTCTCCCATTATCTCCTCAGTAACTTGATAAGTGTGTCAACCCAGAGGAGCAGTACCATACCTCTGATGTCTTCCATTATCTCCTTAGTAAGTTGATAAGTGTGGGAATCCTGGAAGAACAGTACTATACCTCATATGTCTCCCATTATCTCCTCAGTAAGTTGATAAGTGTGGCAACCTCAGAGGAGCAGTACTATACCTCTGACGTCTCCCATTATCTCCTCAGTAACTTGATAATTGTGGCAAACTCTAGGAGCAGTACTTTACCTGTGACATCTTCCATTATCTCCTCAGTAAGTTGATAAGTGTGGGAACCCCAGAGGAACAGTACTATACCTCTGATGTCTCCCATTATCTCCTCAGTAAGTTGATAAGTGTAACAACCCCTGAGGAACAGTACTATACCTCTGACGTCTCCCATTATCTCCTTTGTAACTTGATAATTGTGGCAAACTCTAGGAGCAGTACTTTACCTCTGACGTCTCCCATTATCTCCTCAGTAAGTTGATAAGTGTGGGAACCCCAGTGGAACAGTACTATACCTCTGATGTCTCCCATTATCTCCTCAGTAAGTTGATAAGTGTGTCAACCCAGAGGAGCAGTACCATACCTCTGATGTCTCCCATTATCTCCTTAGTACGTTGATAAGTGTGTCAACCCAGAGGAGCAGTACCATACCTCTGTTGTCTCCCATTATCTCCTTAGTAAGTTGATAAGTGTGACAACCCCTGAGGAACAGTACTTTACCTCTAATACCACCGATTATCTCCTCAGTAAGTTGATAGGTGTGACAACCCTAGAGGAGCAGTACCATACCTCAGACGTCTCCCATTATCTCCTTAGTAAGTTGATAAGTGTGTCAACCCAGAGGAGCAGTACCATACCTCTGATGTCTCCCATTATCTCCTTAGTAAGTTGATAAGTGTGACAACCCCTGAGGAACAGTACTTTACCTCTGATGTCACCCATTATCTCCTCAGTAAGTTGATAAGTGTGGGAACCCTAGAAGAACAGTACTATACCTCTGACGTCTCCCATTATCTCCTCAGTAAGTTGATAAGTGTGACAACCCCTGAGGAACAGTACTTTACCTCTGATGTCTCCCATTACCGTATTCGACGCAATAAGCGCCCAGGGCGCTCTCAAAATTAGAAAT